AGTGTGAAAACCCCATGACTAAGCCATGGTCCTCAGGCATGGATGCAGGCGGGGAGGAAGGGGGAGAAATGAGAGGGAACTGAATAAAAATCAGTTTCCTGAAGGATCCTGCCATCTTTCGAGCCTCATGCTTCCTCTCCCTCCTTCTACGGGACCCATCAGTCAGAGTAAATCACTTGCATTTTCCAGAATGAGCAATGCTCCCCAGATCTTTGTACACGCTGTTCTCTCTGCCTTTCTCTCCCTGTTCTCACTGTCGCCTGGCATAGCCTACTTCATCCTTGAGATTTTGGCCTAGAGGGCAACCTCTCCAGGAAGCTTTCTGCAGTGGGGATGTTTTATCTTGCCTGCATGACATTTGTTTCCTCCAGATCCAAAAACAGCATCTGAGTTTTCCTTTGGGGAACCATTCCCTCCTCGATTCTTATCCGTGAGGTTCAGGGATGGGTCCCTGGCTGTATTGGTGACCCCGGCCAATCAGTGTATTCCATCCCACTGGCCACAGTGATTGGTTTCTGGATGGGTGTGTCATTCCAGAGAGGCCAATGAAATTCATTCCTGGGACTTTGGTTGGAATTGCTGAGAAAGAGGATTTCCTTTTCCATTGGGGCTGCCAATTACAAGAATTGAGCAAGCTTGGAGAGGCTGCTGGCCACCTTTGCTGCCATGTGCAAAAAGCCTTTCTAAAAGTAAATCCAAAACAGAGGAAAGGAGATCTGAAAGGTGGAGAGAAAGAGAGAGAGAGAGAAAGGGAGGGGGAAGAGGGGAGAGAGGAAAAGTGAGAGGGGAGAAGGGAAGGGAAGAGAGGAAAAAAGAAGAGACAGACAGATACATTTTTTGCCATTTGAGCCCCTGGCTTCAGTCATGCCTGAAGGTAGTTTTACACGATTTCTCATGAAACAGTCCCCCTACCCCTCTTTATTTATTTGACCAGTGTGGTAAGTATTCTATCACAACCTAAATACACATGCTAACACACCTCCACCCCATTTTTGGGATCTCACACAGCCCCCATCCCTGTATTTTCACTGCACTTATTGGATTTTATCATAATGATCTCTTTGGTCCTTCAAGTCAAGCAGCAGTAGTGCCTTGTTTCCTGCTGTATCTGTAGCACCTAGCTATACCTGGCACATAATAGCACCTCCATAAATTCAGCTCTAATTGCTTCTTAAACAATTACAAATGAGTTCACGATAGCATCTGTGTAAATACACACAAAACAATTGTGTTACTTTTCTATGGGTCCGTATGGAAATGCACAGAGAGAGTCTGGGATGATACCGCCTTTGCATCACAGTGTCAGTTACCTTGTACTATAGTGGCTACGAGAAGAACGTACCTATGTATCAGTCATTATTAAAAATTAATGTAAAGCAAAGCTTAACAAAGCAGCACATGCTCTTTGCAATTCAAAAAGTACAATTAAAAGTGAGCTGCTACTTTGCCCCTCCTGATAAATATTTGTTGTATGAAGGAATAAAAACCGTAAGTATAAAAGCTAATGAATGATTGAATAAGAAAAGTTTCATTCAGAGAGACCTCAGTTTAAGGTGTCCCCCTCCCCTTCCCCCTCCCCCCCCTTAGCAGGCCAGCTGGTTTCCCTGAAAGCCTGGGCCTTGGGCCAAGGTTTCATTTCTTTCTTGGGTGGGCCCCTATCTGGAAGTCCTTTTTCCAGGGAGCTCGGAGAATGAGTCACAGGGTTTGCTTTCACAATGAGTACCCAGTGACTAAAGGGTCACCTCCTCAAGCAGGTGGGCTGTGTGTAGACTCAAGCAGAGTGTGGTTTGGGGGGTAGTGGGAGGCTCCTGTGTGGCCCTGTGGCTGACTGCTGTTTCCCAAGAAACAGCTTCCCACCGACATTCGGTCCCCAGGTGTAACTGTGGAGAGTCTGTTGGCCCAGACGGTGGGCTCAAGGTCTGGCCCTGACAATCAACTTGTTATGGGACCTCTCTCACCCGTGAAATGAAGGCGGTGTGGAGCAGGCACTGGTGGCCGCCCAGCTAGTAACTGTCCTGCCTCTTCTTTCTTGCTTACAAAACGTCAACCGTGGGAAGTGGGCACATTGGATGGCCGTCTGTTTAAGGCAAGGCTGGGCCTCTCCTCAACCCCAATGTTTCTGTGTCCAAGTGAGTACACACACACACACACACACACACACACACACACTTACATAGTCTAAGTGAATTACAGTCACTCCCAAACATCCACTTGCCAGCGATGTGTGTAGGCATAGAACAATCTTCTCACTTTCTATGTGGTTTAGGCCAGTTATTTAATCCCTTTATGCCTTGGTTTCTTCTTTAAAATGGGAGTGGTTCTTACATTCCACTGTTTGCAATGGGCCTTAACAATAACCCAGCTAAAGGGCCCAACCTAGAGTAGGAGTTAGAATAACAGTTCTTAGACAAACACTGTTGGCTTAATGCTCCATTTGAGGGCACCTGTGGTTTCGGTGAGTGACAAAGACATTATTAGCTTGATTTGCTAAGCCAGTGAATCCCATTTGGAAGGTGCATGACTATTTACATATGAGGAGAAACACTGTAAGGACAGAGGATGCGGGCTGTGAACTACTGAGAGAGGCTGCGGTCCGGAAAGTCGTCTCGTGGGAAATTCAGAAGTGCTGGTGCCGTCCTTCAAGGCTCAGATGCAGTGGCTCTGGGGTGAGGCCGGGGCCTCTGTTCACAAGGGCCCCATTGGATTTTATTTTATCAGCTAAACAGTTCAGGAATTACCAGTTTGGGAGATAAATTCTAATCCTGATTTTGTCCTTCACCATCAGGCAAATCCTCCCACTTCCACAGCCCTGGTTTCCTCGTCTGTAGAATGAGGATGTACCAACCTGTCATTCGTAGCATCAGTTAACAGTGGTGCCCAACAGGGGGTGATTTTTTTTTTTGTCCCAGAGAACATGTGGCAATGTCTACACAGTTTTGGTTGTTATAACTGGGCATGGGTCTGAAAGGAGGGTGCCATGGGCTTTCAGTGAGTGGAGGCCAGGGATGCTGCTAAACACCCTGCACTGCACAGGATGGACCCCATTACAGAGAATTATCTGGCCCCAAATATCATCAGTGCCAAGACTGAAAAACTCAGGTTAAAGATATTCATGTGTTATGTGTTCCAAGGAGAGTGGGAGTCAAGGATACCTATCTATTGCCTTAGCATAAAGTTGCCCACGACATACGAGTTAAGTGTGGGGGTGGGGGGTGTGGAGAAGGTTCAAGAACCAGAGAGAGCCACACTGTTCTGTGTGAGGGGGGTGGGCGGAGTGGCAGTGGTACCAGAATTTCTGTGTGTGACCCACTGGGAGAAGCCAACTGCCTCGCCCTGGCCACCCCATTGGTCAGATGATGGCCACACCTAGTGTCAAGGGAAGCTGGGAAATGTAGTCTTTATTCTGGGTGCCCATGTTCCGATTTGGGGTTTCTATTACTCATGAAGAAGAAGAAAATGGATTGGGGGGATGGGTAACTGGCAGTGTATGCTCCAATCAGCTACCATTTACTGAGCTCTAGCTGTGTACCAGATGCTTCACATCCTCTGTCCATTTAATCCCCACAACACTGATGGCAGATAAGAGTTATGATCCCGGTTTTACGGAAGCCAAGGCTTGGAGGAGACAAGGGAGTACCCCGAAGGTACTGTGCTCGAAGTGTCTGTGCAAGATTCCAACTCCAGTTTCTTCTGTAGGCCACTCTGCCAGTGCTTGGTCGGGGGACTCGGAGACGGAGGGGGCCACCCAGTTGTCACCTCAGAGGAACAGCTCTTTGTTTGGTCTGCCTAACATCAGCGCCTTCTGCTGAGTGCAGAGCCCCAGGTTTCCTGTGGGGACCGTAGAAGATGCTATCAGTGCCCTGGCATTGTCATAGCCTTCAATGCACACTGGCCTAACCCTTATCTCTTTGTTTGAGGACTTTCTTAGGTCACCAGGGACCAGTTTGTTCTTGCATGCTGCAGTTCTGGGCAATTAAATCTTCTAAAGGCAGCTCCCAGAAGACTGACAAGAACTGGCAGATAAACCCCTCGGCTCCCCCGGCCCTAAGATGGGGTAACTCACGTGTGTGTTCTACACTGGCTGCCAGAGTTCCCCGACGGGATTAAGCTGAGGTGATAACTTGCTCGATGACACAGTCTCTATTCATTGCCTTTCCTGTCTCATTCCTGGGATCCTCTCCCAAATAATCTACTTGTACCTCAAGTCCTTGTCTTGGGGTCTTCTTCTGGGGGAGCCCAAGCTAAAGGATAAAACCACCCTCCCCTCTCTGCAGTGTCCTTCCATGTGGTTAAAATGGGAAGGACCCCGTGCCAACTCCGAGGACGGCACATGACTCACATCCAACCAATCACACCACCATAACTCTTTAGCTACTGAGACTGGTTCAGAGGCCGCCATGTGACCCCAAGCTAGGCCAATGGCAGCTTCTTCCTAGATTTCTGCTGGAAAATTGAGAAAGAACATTCTTCTGCTCTGGTCCCTAAACTTTAGGCGGTGGCTTGGGGGCCAATATTCTCTGAGACTGAAGCCACCTCAGAGGACAGCAGTGCTGAGATGAAAAACAGAAATCGGATCCTGACGGCTTTCTGAGCATCCCTGGTTCCAGGGTGGTGCGTAAATGATTTTACACGTCAGTATTGGGCCCAGGCATGCTGAACCCTCCTGTTCCCCACAGGCAGGCCTACTTCCCATTCATTGTCTCCCTACCGGGTCCCACGAGGCTGCAGGGTTTGCAGTCTTTGGGTTTGGCTGGGAAGCAGCCCTTGCCGGAGTGTTTCAAGTTGTTTTAGCAACATTATGGAGCAACTGAGTTACCCAAGTTGAACGTTGGTACTCATTGAGAAATGAACTGCTTTCATTTCAACTCCAGAGTCGTTAAGAAAGAATGGAAGGTATTTTCCCTGGTCTTTGCCGAGCAGCTAGCTGGGACTTTGTGATGGAAAGGTCTGAGTTTCTTTGACCTCTAGGCAGAATTAACGGGCCTTTTTTTTACCCCCAAGGTTGCAGAGTCTCAGATTGGGGTGGGCAAGAGCACCTACCCTGGGAGACCTGGAGGAACAAGTTCTTGGAGGAGCCCAGGTGACTCAGTTACTATCTTAGGGGACCAGACCTGGGACTTTGCCTTCCAAACATGCTTCCCCAAAAGTTGGGAAATGTAGGAGTCTTTATTTGTAAATGGCAGAAAACCTAAGTGAAACTGGATTATGCAAAAAAGGGGGTTTATTGGCTTAAGTAACTGACCGCTGCCCCTTCTCCCCGCTGACTTAAATAACTGAAGAGTTCTGGCTGTAGGCCTGGCTGGATCCATGAGCCCCAGTGAGGTTGCCAGGCATGGTGACTTGGCATCTTTCCGTTTCACTCTTCCATGAGATGGCTCCATTCTCGGTCTCTGTTTAACAAGATGGCACTACCTGCACCCTGCCCGGTACGGTGGTCTCCCTTATCCACGGAGGGCATGTTCCAAGACCCCCAGTGGATGCCTGAAAGCTTGGGTTGCACCAAACCCTTATACTTTATGTGTTTCCTGTGCATACATACTTTTTCACTTAAAGGAAACAGTTAATGGATCGTGCAAGATTTTATTACGATACGCAGAATAGTGCGTAGTCTAAAACTTATAAATTGTTTATTTCTGGAATTTTCCATTTAATATTTTTGGACCACGGTTGACTGCAGGTAACTGAAACCAGGGAAAGCAAACCACAGAAAAGAGGGGATTGACTGCTCTACAAGTCTGCAGAGAAAGAGAGACTCGTGTCCTGGAAACTCTGTTGAAGTTCCAGCATCTACTCTGATTCGACTACCTTAGGTCGTGGCCCATCTCTGAAGCGCCCACTGCCGCTCAAGGAAGGCCATGGTCTGATTGTCCAGGCCTGGTCACACACATGTTGAGGGAGGGACAGCGTCAGCTGAACTTCAGGGACTGAACGTGGGCAAGGTGAAGTTCTCCTAATAAATACTGGGTACTGTGAGCAAACATGGGGGGATGAAGGCTGGACAGGCAAAGACGGGTGGTATCCAGCATAGAGTACCTGATTTAGGCCATAAATCTTAGGGGCCCTGGGCTACTTGGCATCCTTCTGGGGTCCAAGGTGTTCTTTGGTGCAGATCAGGAAAGGAGAACCAAGGTCCCTGGTCAAGAGACCACCAAGGCATAAAGCAGACTCTGTTGACTGCTTAATTCCCCCTCTTCCTTGCCAATGGAACCTAACTTTGGGTGGCCAGGAACAGCTTGCCAGGCCCAGAGCATGGATTCTGATTGGTAGAAACCAGCCATGGCAATTTGTCTCCCTTTGTCTTCATCTTGGGGTAACACGGGACCCAGACCTGGCCAACTGGGCAGCTGGGATAGTCTGCTGAGGGCTTCTGGGAAGTATTCTCCCTGTTCAAAGAAAGAGATTCCTCCCCCAGCCCCTTTTCTTTTACACACACATTCTTCCATCCTTTGGATACTGTTCTAGGATGTGACATTTGGAGCTACAGCAGTCATTTTAAGACCATGAGGAAAAGGCCAAGGGAATCCTCAAGAAGCTAATATTGAGAGGCTAAAATGCCCATTTCTAAAAAGGCCTACCTATAGGTTTATTGTTACCTGAGATAATAAGTGTCCTAGTCAGTGAAGGCCTTCTTGGAGGCGGGGAGGGCAGGACAAAAAATGCCGCCACTTCTCAGAGATTATTCTGGTTCTAGAGCTGGTCTGGCCTGTTCTAGTTTGCTCTCTGAATGTTCTATAGTGTAGCTCTTGCACCTGGTTAACATTAGTAATTCATCCGAACCCTACCACTATGGGCTGAGTTTTGTAAACTTTCTTGTAAGTCTGGAAGTTGCCTGAAGCCCTGTGCAAGCATTTACCACACAGAGTAAGAGCAGGCTGGTTGTGGGGGGGCGGGGGGCGGGCAGGGAGTCTGGTCTCTAACGTTTTTATCTTTGTTTTTTTCAGTGTTTTATTGTTTTAGTTGTTCATGCTATCAAACCTACAGAAAAGTTGGACAGACACAAAAAGAGCAAAAAACACCTATATATACACCTATGTACCCTTTACCGGATCTGTTGTTAACACTTTATATCGTCACTCTCTGTGTTTGTGTGTTTCATTTTTGAACCGTTTGAACGTAGGTAACATCTGTCATGGCCCCTTACTGTTAAATACTTCAGTGTATATTTGCTAATAGGAATATTATCTTAACCCTAGTGCAGTGACCAACCTTAGTACCTTTAACACAGTCTCCAATTCCTGTCATGGTATTCCAACTTGGTTAATTAATCCAATAGGGTCCTACGGGCTTTTCCTCCTCAGATCCGGGGTCCCGTTTGGGCTCAGAGATCGCACTTAGTTGTCACGGGTCTCTTTAGCTCCCTGTAATCTGGACCATGTCACAGCTGTTCTTTGTCGTGTATGACATGGACATGGTTGGATGATACGCTCTCCACACACACTCCTTGTCTTTTTTTTTTAAAACAGTGTCCCTTCGTTGGGATTTGTCTGTTATTTCCTCATGATCAAATTTAGCTCAGGCATCCTCAGCCTGGCCACTGATTTTGATTCTGATAGAACCTGGCCCTACAATCCTGAGCAAGTTATACCTTCTCTTTGAGCCTCGGTTCCCGTATCTGTAACAAAAACAAATTGGCTTCAATGAATGCCCTTTCACTAGCTAAGAGATGGATTGTGTGCCCGTTCTGGATCAATCATTGCTGAAGGGGAACAGATTACTGTTCTTATATATAAGGTGTGTCGTTATTTATCTGCTGGGACTAGGGAGCAACCCACCCCCCAAAATCAAGAGATTGCTGCCCCTTAGCTGAGCCCTAGATCAAAGTTCTTCGGAGTGTGATGTTTGTGGAAAACAGGGAGGAAGCTAACTAACTGGTCGAGGGAGCTTTAGGCAGGAGTGCAGATTTGACAAAGTCTTGATCAATTCTGTGGGGCACTTTAGAGCATGGACTGTCGATTAGAGGAGCCCCCGGGCTGGGCAAAAAGAGCCAGCTCCTTGCCCCCCACTGTGCTCAGTTATTGGCTGTGGGCTCTTTGGGAAGACCATGGTCTTGGCTTGAAAATTGAGACACATCCCAAAGATGCTGTGGCTGGAGGCTGTCAGCCAACTGCACTTTTCACAGGAGAATAGCAAGTTCTTCCTTGAAGCTGTGCCTCTCCTGGGCTGCCCAGTCTCTAGCCTTCCTGTGCCCAAAGAGGTCAGCCTTGAGGTCGACATGTTCATTTCTGCCCGGACCAGCCTTGGTTTTGACAGAGTGAGTCAGAAAACCAAGTGGGAGATCAGACTCAGTTCAGAACTTTGGTTTCATGGAAAAAAAATGTTTTTCCCACACAGAATATTTTCATTATAGTAAAATTAGAACTCACACCTATACACAAAGAAGGTAAAAATTACTCATAACTTTTCCACCACTGAAGAAATGACATTAAAAAGATCTCAACAGCTAACGTGCGTGGGGTGGCGGTTGCGTGCCAGGTTCTGTGATGACAACTGGCACTCGTTACCTTGTTGAACCTCAGCACCACTGCTGGGGGCTTGAGTCATCCCTCTGTGCCCCGGTTTGCCCATCTGCCCAATGGGAAGATACAGGACATTCGAAGAGTTCGTCCATGCAAGGTGCTTGGAACATTGTTACCTGGCTCCCGTAAATGCTTTGTAGAGGGCAACTGTTATCCCCGTTATGCGTTCTCATTTCTTCATCCACAATTCGGAACATTTTTTAAAAAGCTATGAAAACCAATGATTCCTACAAAGCCTGGCACCCAGACTCCTTCAGAAGCAAACCCTGGCCTTTTCGGAGGCTCTTTATTGTCTTGTTGAACCCGCTTCGTGGGACTGTTTATATGTTTCGTATCAATGAGTATATAATGAGATACTATAAAATATATGGGTATGGACCACAGCACTTTTCTGAAATCTGAACATTTCTAAATTTCGAAACCCTGATTTCTGATAAGGGACTGCGGACTGGTACCATCGGTCTTCAGAAAGTCCCTGAGGTGGGTGCTTTTAAAATCCTCATCTTATTAAAGAGGAAGCTGAAGCTCACAGCCATTGTATGTTTTTCCCAGGGCCACCTAGAGGTGGGAGAGGGAGGGTGTGAACCGAAGCAGACTGACTCCAGAGCTTCTGTTGTGAGGGAAAATTTTTTCTTAAAATAGTTCCCTTTATGGCAAGATTTTCCGGAGCCTTTAATCTGCTATCATGTTCTGTAAATTTCTGGGAGGAGGTTAGAAAAACGCGGCATTCCCCAGACTCCCGAGCTGTGGATGTCAAGGTCGTTCGTTTTCTCAGGGAGTTTCCCAGCCAGTGCTCACGCTGCGGCCCTGTGGAGGAGATAAGGAGCATGAAAGGGACAAACTAAGCACACAGGGGCAGGCGAGGACGCCCTTGGCGACTCCTACCCTGTCACCAATTGACTTCATGGGGCTTTGAAAAAAAATCCTGCCTCCTGACTTGGAAAGCCAATGACAAAACCGTCTTTGAGGTCCCTTAGCTCGCCAGCAGCATTTTCTCTGAAGAAAGCAGGCAGGCGGACACATGCGAAGTAGACTTTCAGCAAACTTCAAAGGGGCGCCGCTGTGCGCGTTTCCAGGAAACCCTTTGAAACCTCGGGCTGGATGGGCTGGGCTGCTGGGAACAAACGCAGGCAGGAAGATTCCTCCAGCTCCTCAAGGCTGAGTCCCACCCACGTCACCTTCCAGCCTTTTTAGAGACCAAACCCCTGGACAGCCTCTCTTTTCTTGCAGTCCCAACAGCCTCCCCGAGGCTATCTCGGCAAGCGCTGGGCTTGCCAGATTAAATTCACTTATTTCATGCCCTTAAAAGAAATGCAAAACTCAATTATTCCACTGACTTTTGAAGTTGTGCTTTCTAACTTTTGAAAAGGTGAAAACTGATCCAAGATCAACGGCATTCAAGGAAAATACAAATTTCCAGAAAACACGAGTCTCCCCATCACCACAACCAGTTTGACGTATCTCCTTCCAGGTGAATTTTAGACGTACATCGGCACTTAATGTTATATCTGTTGAGGCGTTTGGGCTACACCCAACCTACAAGTCTATGACTGACTTAGGTGTACATGTAGAGAGTTTCAAAGTCCATTTAAGAAAGCAATGATGTTATCAAGGACCCAGATCCTTCCCCTCTCTCCTCTGTTCTCCGTGACCTCTGGCCCAGCACATTTGTGTCTTAATAATGGGTGAGGCAGAGCGTGGGCAGGAGGAGTACCCTGGAGGCCACTCCCACGCCAGGACAGCAGGTAGTAACTTACTTTACTGTGCGTAGAAGACCTGAGTGCCGTGATGCCGTTTTCACTGGGGGGCCATGTCAGCCTCCCGGTTGCCTTCAAAGGGCCAAATGTAATTTCAGCTCCTTAACAGTTAAGGCGTCGTTACATGTATACAGCCCTAAAATTATTTCAGCCCTTTGAAGGCAACTGAGAGGTTGATGTGGCCCCCGGGTGAAAATGAGTTTGATTCCCTTGCAAAACTCAGCTGAATGGATTCCCCAGTCCTGATAGCTTCCCAGAGAAGCTAAAGAGAACTAGCTTCTCTTTAGCTATTCCCCCCCAAAATGCTGGGGATCCCCAATGCCACCTGATGCCAAGGCAGGAGATGCGAGGAATTGATGGTCTTGGTGATTGCAATTCAAAAACCTTATCTTTGCTGATACAGTCGTGGAGTCACGTGACTCTGTGAGCACAGGTAAGGGCCGGGCAACCGAGGGACCTTGAACTCCTGTTTCATTCTCTTCTCAGTAGAGCTCCCTCCAGATTTAAAGAAAGCAGGGCTGGAATGGGTGGTGGAGTAGATGTAAAAAGTGAGTTTAAGAGAGAAATTGAGAATGATCTGAAGGAGCTTTGGGGCTTGAGCAACCAAGTGTCCAGTAGGGGAGAAAAGGGGTCTGGGGCGTCAGGAACCGGAAGTTCACTTCCAGCCACGTTGAGTTTGAGATTTCTGTTAGACATCAGTAAGTAAAGCTGGACACACAAGACAGGCATTTACTATCTCCAGACTTCTTGACAAGTAAACCACATATTTGCAAGTTGTTTTTTTGTCCTTATGGCCAGAAGCGTCCCAACAGAGACAACATATGCACATATGTGTATTTGTGTGTACATATTTATATATAAGTATCTATTCACCTATCTATCTGTGGTGCATGCATTTAGGGCATGGGAAGCTTGGGGAGTATTCCTTTTCTTAAATTTGGCTTAAAAAAAGGAAATAGAGGCTCGGATGTAACTTGCCTTAGGTCAGTGGTGGACAGAGCTGCCATTTGGAAGGAGGTTGGCCCAGCTTCAGAGTCCGGACTCCTTCTGTCCCAACAGCCTTGCCCCTAACGGAGTTGGGAAGGGAAATGAGTCCTTCCGGGGGGAGTGTGGGCCTCCTTGCCTGCCTCTCCCTGGGCTGGCTCCTCGGCGAGGCTCACTGTGGCATCACCTGTGGCTGAACATCAATAACCACGTGCAAGGATTCCTGTTTGTGGCTGGAAGAGTCTGTCTGCACTCTCCTTCCCTCTGTCATGGAAACCACAAAGCCCAGGGCTACAGCTGCAGCAAAATGGTTCTGGGGTGTGGTCAGACCACCCACCTGTCCCCAGTGGATAGACTTCTCCTGCCTGCCTTTACGTCAGGATTAGGGCTGCTTGGGATGCTGGTGGGAGAAGCCTGGTTCTCCCGCACGCAGCTGATGGAGCTGTGCGTTCTTGGGCGAGTTACTTACTTTCTCTGTGCCTCGGTTTCCTCACTTGCAAAATAATATTAAAAACAGTGACTATCTCCCTGGCTGGTGTAGCTCAGTGGACTGAGCGTGGGCCTGCGAACCAAAGGATCGCAGTTTGATTCACGGTCAGGGCACATGCCTGAGTTGCAGGCCAGTTCCTGGCAGGGGATGCATGAGAGGCAACCAATCATTGGTATTTCTCTCCCTCTAAAGATAAATAAATAAAAATTTAAAAAAAAACCCGAAAACAGTAACTATCTCACAGGGGTGTCATGAAGGCTCAGTCGGTGGATGGAAATTACGTGGTTCGCTGTCCGCCTGGCTCACCACTGGCCTGCCTGCATCGC